ATGTATGTATGTGTGTGTGTGTGTGTGTGTGTGTGTGTGTGTGTGTGTGTGTGTGTGTATGTATGTATGTATGTATGTATGTATGTATGTATGTATGTATGTATGTATGTATGTATGTATGTATGTATGTATGTATGTATGTATGTATGTATGTTAAAACCAAAACATGATGAGTGACACTGAACCGTCAAACATCAAGTAACAAATGGATTAACACTTTGATTTGTCGTTAATTGCACATGTCGGCATTCAGTTGGATATTTTCAAGCACACAGACACGCAGGAACCGCTGCAACAAGCACGAAATGTGGTTGGTTGCAAAAAACAGTTCCCTGCTGTCACCTGATCTGACACTGATCTTTTTGCCTATTTCCTTAAGAAATTTAAGGGTATTGGGGTCCATCGGGCCGAGAACCTCGATGCATATTGACAAGAATTCCATCGAGGGGAGGGCGTTCCCATATTTTTTCATTTTCTCGTCCGCTGCCCTGGCCGCGGCCAAACCGCATTCTTTACTTGTCAGGCTTACGTATCGCTCGGCGAGGGTGCCAGGGACCGTAACATCCCACGCCAAACATCTGCCGGCTCTCCAAGGTATTAGCGTGCATCCGTCCGGTCGCCTACCATCATGCGCAGAAATGCCGGATGGTTCCTTGAGAACCGGGATTGAAGCCTTGGAGAAGAGCCGACAAATGTAATCGTTTAGCGCTGAGTGACGTAGTTGACGGCCACCACCCAGGCGACAAACCAAACCGTGGTGCCCAAACTCGTCCGCCTCAGCGCCACGTGTATTTATTCTGAATGACCAGGCCAAGTCTGAAGCCAATGGCAAATCTTACAGACTCGTCGTCAAGCCTGGTGCCCACAGAGGTGTTAGGCCACGATCTCAACCACCCACAGCTGGCAACGCTGGACATGGCCAACAAACGAGCGGTGCAAAAGTCGTCGCCGCATGAAGACAACAAATTTTGAAAGATTTTTTTATATTCTTCGTTCAAAATTTGGACGTGCGTACGGTCCCCCGGGGCGGACGCTGGGGGAAGAATATCGCGGCAACGAAAAAACCGGTGGAGCAGGGAAGACTGTAGGTCGAGAGTGGCAGCGGCAGAAGAATTATAAACAACGGGAGCCAACTGAACCACGCTAAGCAACCCCAGCCCACCAAATCGCACCGGCAGCTGAGCCTGGGACCAACCACTGTCGGTCACTTGAACATTGCAAATCGACGACAGGGCGGTGCGCAGGGCTCCGTCAAATTCGCCCAATTTAGAAGGGTCAATGTGTTTAGATGTACGCAGGAAGTACATCAATTTGGGCAAACTGAGGGCATTGCGGATAATAGTCAAGGCATCATGGGCCGAAAGACAGGAAACACGACCCAGGGCGAATTCAAGCTCAGAGAGCTTTTGGTCAAAAAACTTTATTTGATAATCGCCCTCGACCAAGGGTGTGCCCAAAAAACTCAGTTCTGATGCACCAACTCTGGGTATTTCAGCCAGCGCATGTGGCACCTGAAATAAACTTTGGCAGTGAAGTTCGCATTTTTTAATGTTTAACTCTAAGCCAATTGCAGCGGAGTTATGCTTCAAATATTCGTAGCTATCGGCCAGAGTTGGACCGTCCGAAGCTATGCTGATATCATCCAGATAAGCGCAAACGAAGGTGGACGAAGCTTTCTCTAAGAGTGGATGAAGAGTTAGTGCGAACAACAAAGGACCAAGGGGATCACCCTGCTGTACCCCCTCGGACGATTCTACAACCCAAGAGTGGTAGCCAAGGGAAGAGACTCCGCCATAAGCAGAATGGCAAAAATTATAGATGTTGGGGCAAAAAAGTTTGACAGCCTCCAACATCGAGTCTCTTTTCAAGGCATTGAAGGCATTTTTAAAGTCCAGTTTCAGAAACCCCCATTGATCGGGGAGGTCGGTGACCAATCTTCGAACCGCATGAACAGCGGCCTCAACGCCACCCTTAATCCCGACACCCAACTGAGTCGGGTAGAACTTGGTCTTGAGTTCGACCACGACCAGGGCCAAGGCACATTTGCCGGCCAACCTCCTCCAAACGTTCCCGACCGCAATCGGTCTGACCCCTCCGTCTTTCTTATTTAAAGCTATTAGCCGGCCTCCAAAAAAGAACCGGCGGACGGGGAGTGGGCAAGCTCCAGATAGGATCAAATTAATGAATTGGGTTAAGGAGTTCAGTGTGTCGTCAATTGGCAAGGGGCCTGAAAAAACATCCTTAAGGTGCTGGGGTCGTAGGCCATCCAGGCCTTCAGAAAAACCGTTTTTGAAGGATTTAACGGCCCTCAGCACCTCGGCGGGAGAAACGCAACCAGCCGTTGGTGTCAATGCGGGAAAGACCCGCCTGTCCACCGGAATTTTTGGGTGGATAGAACATAATTTATCGAAGGTGGCCAGCGAGCTCTCCGCCAGGCCCTCCGGCGAGCAGACAAGTCTGACCGCCGAGGACAGGTTTCCCTGTTCAATACAAGATGACACAGCGTTGATCCATCGATCGGGGTTGTGCTTTTGTGATTTGGCATTATTGAACCCATCAAAGCACAGTACCAGGGTTTCAAGACCAATAGTTGAATATTCGCTTAGACGCTTGTTGACCAGATTGCCCTGGTTGACCCGGCGACCTCCTCTGGAAGTCTTCTGTAAGACGTATGGGACAAAACAGTGGAGTCTAACCCAGTGAGCCGGGTCACCAGGGTCGTTACAAACAGCCGTCAGCAAGGCGTTCAGATCATGTGCGAACTTCTCCCTGCATGGCTTAGGGATATGGTCGTACACCGGTACACATTTCAGCACGGCCGTCAGCTTATCAAAAACACCAGAGTAATCCAGGCCGAGAGGATCACCGGAGACCGATGCGGCGGACGACCGTGTGGGCAGCCCAGGCTTGGGGTCGGGTGCGGCACCGAGAGGCGAAGCAGCCCTCGCGCCCGATGGATCAACTTTTTTCCGGGACCCCGAGCATTCCTGTCCTTTCACTTTACCTCCGTGCCGACATAACTTCCCGTCTGGAGTGCTTCTATAGTGGTTAAAGCAGACGGGGCACTGTTGTAACGTTGGAGCCATATGTGATTAAAAACAACCAAGAAACGAGGGAAAGGAAACAAACCAAGTGGGGTGGATGGATGAATGAATGGATGAACAAGCGAATGACCAGAGGAACGGGCTAGCGAACAAACGGATGAATGAGTGAATGATGGGGGAATGAATGAGCTAATTACTGAACGGACGAGTGAGGGAAAAAAAGAATGAATGAGTGAGTGAATAAATAAATGAATGAATAAACAACCGAACGAATGGATGAATGAATGAATACATAAATGAGTGACGGAATGAATGAACGAGCGAACGGATGAATGACTGACTTATCTTTAAATATTTAACCAGTGTTTCAACTTTTATTTATATAATTTTTTTTTTCTTTTCTTTTTTTTTTTTTTTATTGATGAATGAATGAGTGAGCAAATGAGTGAATGAGTGAATACAAAAACCTAGGTAACAGTGTGGGAGGAGACACTATTGCAGCAAACTTGGCCCAATCTCTCCCTTATAGTTTATTTTTTTTTTATTTTTATTTTTACACAGATTTTAAAAATTGGTTTAGGAAATTTCTTTTTTTATAAATAAATTTTAATTTTAATTTAAACTTTAAATTTTAATTTGAAAAGTAAATTAAAAATAAATGCCGGTAGAAGGTAAATAAGTTAAAATGTAGTTTAAAACTTTCCAATAATAATAAAAACAGCTCACACCTGGCGCAGGCCGGTGACCTGTAGCAGCTATGAGCTGTGAATAAATTATAATATTGATAAATAAAAACAAAAAACGAGAAAATTGGCCGAGGCAGGGCAGAAAAACGATAAAAAATGACGGAAAAACAAACCCGGGACAAAATTACAGCCGATGACCCCAAAAAACCTCTATAAAAACAATTTAAAATCTATGAATTTAGCAAAAATAATCAGGAAATTAAAACAATCCAGCCGGCCTTGAATGTGAACAAACGTATGTATGTATGTATGTATGTATATGTACGTACGTATGAAAACAAAAAAAAATGGCGTCCAGGTCACTTGTAATAAATGAGTTCCTGTATTATTTAGAAAATAATTGGAATTTAATTGAGAATGAAACGTTTATTAATAATATATCTGTATTTTATATTCATGAGGATATTGTAAATGCAATTAAATTGCTAAAAAGTGAATTAAATAATTTTAAAAGTGAAAAAAGTGAAAAATTGCGGTCGCGGGGTAACATGAAAATTGAGAAAATATTGGAATGTATATCGTTAATTAAACAGTTGAAAGAAAACAAATGTTGGGACAAATGTCCATTATTTGTTAGTTGTAATTTAAATAAAGTCCCAAAGTCTGAAAATTTGTTAACATTGAACTTTGAAACTATCAAACTAGAATTAAAAGATATATTGCACAAACAACAGGTCCAATTTAACAAAGTTATTGAAACTGTTGAAAATAATAAAGCTGATATTATTTCATTAAAAAACGTTATTAAAACTGCTGATATTAATAAACCAGAAGTAAATACATTGAAAAATAAACTAAATTCTAATGTTGTAAGTGACTACAGTACTGAAATGACAAACAAGGAGGGACAAAATAAAAATGTCAGTAGTTCTCTGTGGTCAGACATAGCAAAGTCAGAAGACAACAGTACCCCGTTCTCAACTGTAAACGGTAAAAAATCACGTTAAAATAACAACAATTGTGAGAAACAAAACAACTCAGAAGAAACCAGCTACAACCCAACAAACAACAAACAAACAGGAGAAACCAGCAACAACCCAACAAACAACAAACAAACTGGAAAAAAGACAGCTATGAAAATAATTGGTAAAAAAGTTTCAAATGATTGCAAACTGAAGGCAGATAAAATCTTAATGAAAAAATCTGTGTTCTGTTTAAGCAATGTCAGCAAGTGCCACAGAAATGATGTGATGGCCTACCTAACCGACAATGGTATCCATGTTGTTTCCTGTTATCCCATACTCAAACAACTCAATAAAATGGCACCAGCTTCTACAGCCGACGTCAATAACAATAATAATAGTCAAACTGAGAATAAAAAAACAGATGAAGAAGAATCCAGTACGTTTAGAGTTTGCATCGATAGCTCTGATTCTAAGAAAATGAAAGACCCTGACATAATGCCCCAGCACATTATAGTACGCGAGTGGCAATTCAATAAGAAACCAGAAACAATTGTCGATCAAACAAAAAAAGATGGATAAACAACATGTTGATAATGATGAGGACAGCAGTGATGATGAAAAAAAAGACAATTTAAATCCCAAGCAAACTACATGTAAAAGGTATGACAATTTTAAGACGTTGAATGATGAATATAAATTAATAAATAAAGATCTTGACAGCAGTATGTTTTTCAACTTAATGCATTTGAACATAAGAAGTTTGGTCAACAAAACCGATGAATTAGAAAGCTATTTGTCAAACAATCACATCAAATTCAATGTAGTTGCGATAACAGAAAGCTGGTTAAACGAACGTACTGAAAGTTTGGTTGGCATGGATGAATATAGATATGTAGGCAAAAATCGTCATGACAAACACGGTGGAGGGGTTGGTTTCTATGTCTGTAATGATTCTAACTTTCGAATAAGAGATGATTTAAATACCATTGGCTCGCCAAAGTTTGAAATGTTTGCAATAGAGATCATTAACAATTTTAAATCTAAAAATTCAATTGTGATGGTTAGTTATCGACCTCCAATATACGAAATTAAACAATATTTTAAAGAATTAGAATAAGTTTTACAAATAACTAGTAATGAAAATAAATTTGTTTATCTTTTGGGAGATCTAAATATTGACTTATCACCAGAAGTTAGCAGTATAAATAAAATTCAATTGAACCAACTTGTGACATGTTACAACCTCAAATCTATGATCACAGTTCCTACAAGAATCAGTAATACAAAAAAATCCACTATAGACATTTTGTTTACAAATCATCCAGAAAATATTATACAATGTGGTACCATTTTATGCGACCTATCAGACCACATCCCACTTTTTGCTTGCACTAATCAAAAAATAAATAATAAGACAGTTGCTGACGCTACATTTTCAAAATATTCTTATTCAACACACAGAATAAATAATTTAAATGAAGGTTTATGTAATGCCGATTGGACAAGTGTGCTGAGCTGCGATGATGTAGATGTGGCCTTCCAAAATTTCATCGACATCTTTCGGTTACATTATAAAACTTATTGTTCAGTGACCTCTAAAAGACAGGCTCAGAAGATGGCAAAAAACAAACCGTGGATAACTAAAGAATTTAAACAAATGTTAAAAAGGAAGAAAATGTTATATAAAAAATATATAAAGCACACATCGTCAGACAACTCTACAGCACTCAAATCATGCAGCAAATTATGCAACAAGATCAAGTGCCAGTTGAAAAGACAATATTATTTTAATCTTCTACAACAAAGCAATGGCGACAGCAAGAAAACATGGTCAATCATCAATTCTTTAACGAAACGAAATAACAAAAAAACATCAACAATTCAATTAACTTTAAATGATGATCCAATTGATAAACCTGAAACTATTCTCAATAATTATTTCATCAATCTGGCCTCAGATATGCAGCAATCATTTGTAGAAGACACAAGATGGAAAAATTATCTTCAAAATGGGCCAGAAAATTCATTTTTTTGTAACCGTGTTTCATCATCTGAAATCATTTCAACCACAAAACTTTTCAAACCCAAGACGTCGAGTGGTTACGATGAAATATCAACAAAAATAGTAATATCAACAACTAAATCAACAGCAACAATTCTTGAATATTTAATCAACTTATCATTTGACAAGGGCATCTTTCCTAAGTGCTTCAAGACATCCAAAGTTGTTCCAATTGCAAAAGAAAGAGGTAACTCAGAGGTTAAAAACTTTCGACCTATATCTTTGTTGCCTGTTTTTTCGAAGATTATTGAAAAATTGATGCACAGTCGTTTGATCAAATTTTTTGAAAAAAATAACATTCTTTCTAATCATCAATTTGGTTTTCGAAAAAACCACTCAACTGAAATGGCAATACTGGAACTGATTCAAAAAATTGGAGTCGCAAGTGAAAAGAAAAATTATGTAATTGGAATATGTCTCGATCTGTCAAAAGCTTTTGATTGTATTGACCATTCGATTTTATTACACAAACTTCATCACTATGGTATAAGAGACTCCAGTTTGACTTGGTTACAGACTCGTTGTCAAGCCTGGTGCCCACAGAGGTGTTGGGCCACGATCTCAACCACCCACAGCTGGTAACGCTGGACATGGCCAACAAACGAGCGGTGGAAAAGTCGTCGCCGCATGAAGACAACAAATTTTGAAAGATTTTTTTATATTCTTCGTTCAAAATTTGGACGTGCGTACGGTCCCCGGGGCGGACACTTGGGGAAGAATATCGCGGCAACGAAAAAACCGGTGGAGCAGAGAAGACTGCAGGTCGAGAGTGGCAGCGGCAGAAAAATTATAAACAACGGGAGCCAGCTGAACCACGCTAAGCAACCCCAGCCCACCAAATCGCACCGGCAGCTGAGCCTGGGACCAACCACTGTCGGTCACTTGAACATTGCAAATCGACGACAGGGCGGTGCGCAGGGCTCTGTCAAATTCGCCTAATTTAGAAGGGTCAATGTGTTTGGATGTACGCAGGAAGTACATCAATTTGGGCAAACTGAGGGCATTGCGGATAATTGTCAAAACATCATGGGCCGAAAGACAGGAAAGACGACCCAGGGCGAATTTAAGCTCAGAGAGTTTTTGGTCAAAAAACTTAATTTGATAATCGCCCTCGACCAAGGATGTGTCTAAAAAACTCAGTTCTGATGCACCAACTCTGGGTATTCCAGCCAGCGCATGTGGCACCTGAAATAAACTTTGGCAGTGAAGTTCGCACTTTTTAATGTTTAACTCTAAACCAATTGCAGCGGAGTAATGCTTCAGATATTCGTAGCTATCGGCCAGAGTTGGGCCGTCCGAAGCTATGCTGATATCATCCAGATAAGCGCAAACGAAAGTGGACGAAGCTTTCTCTAAGAGTGGATGAAGAGTTAGTGCAAACAGCAAAGGACCAAGGGAATCACCCTGCTGTACCCCCTCGGACGATTCTACAACCCAAGAGCAGTAGCCAAGGGAAGAGACTCCGCCATAGGCAGAATGGCAAAAATTATAGATATTGGGGCAAAAAAGTTTGACAGCCTCCAACATCAAGTCTCTTCTCAAGGCATTGAAGGCATTTTTAAAGTCCAGTTTCAGAAACCCCCATTGATTGGGGAGGTCGGTGACCAATCTTCGAACCGCATGAACAGCGGCCTCAGCGCCACTCTTAATTCCGACACCCAACTGAGTCGGGTAGAATTTGGTCTTGATTTCGACCACGACCGGGGCCAAGGCACATTTGCCGGCCAACCTCCTCCAAACGTTCCCGACCGCAATCGGTCTGACCCCTCCGTCTTTCTTATTTAAAGCTATTAGCCGGCCTCCAAAAAAGAACCGGCGGACGGAGAGTGGGCAAGCTCCAGAAAGGATCAAATTAATGAATTGGGTTAAGGAGTTCAGTGTGTCGTCGATTGGCAAGGGGCCTGAAAAAACATCCTTAAGGTGCTGGGGTCGTAGGCCATACAGGCTTCCAGAAGAACCGTTTTTGAACGATTTAACGGCCCTCAGCACCTCGGCGGAAGAAACGCAACCAGCCGTTGGTGTCAATGCGGGAAAGACCCGCCTGTCCATCGGAATTTTTGGGTGGATGGAACATAATTTATCGAAGGTGGCCGGCGAGCTCTCCGCCAGGCCCTCCGGCGAACAGACAAGTCTGACAGCCGAGGACAGGTTTCCCTGTTCAATACAAGAAGACACAGCGTTGATCCACCGATCGGGGTTGTGCTTTTGTGATTTGGCATTATTGAAACCAGGGTTTCAAGACCAATAGTTGAATATTCGCTTAGACGCTTGTTGACCAGATTGCCCTGGTTGACACGGCGACCCCCTCTGAAAGTCTTCTGTAAGACGTATGAGACAAAACAGTGGAGTCTAACCCAGTGAGCCGGGTCACCAGGGTCATTACAAACAGCCGTCAGCCAGGCGTTCAGATCATGTGCGAACTTCTCTCTGCATGGCTTAGGGATATGGTCGTACACCGGTACACATTTTAGCATGGCTGCCAGCTTGTCAAAAACACCAGAGTAATCCAGGTCGAGAGGATCACCGGACACCGATGCGGCCGTCGACCGTGTGGGCAACCCAGGCTTGGGGTCGGGTGCGGCACCGAGAGGCGAAGCAACCCTCGCGCCCGATGGATCAACTTTTTTCCGGGACCCCGAGCATTCCTGTCCTTTCACTTTACCTCCGTGCCGACATAACTTCCCGTCTGGAGTGCTTCTATAGTGGTTAAAGCAGACGGGGCACTGTTGTAACGTTGGAGCCATATGTGATTGAAAACAACCAAGAAACGAAGAAAAAGAAACAAACCAAGTGGGGTGGATGGATGAATGAATGGATAAACAAGCGAATGACCAAATGAACGGGCCAGTGAACAAACGAATGAATGAGTGAATGATGGGGGAATGAATGAGCTAATTACTAAACGGACGAGTGAGGGAAAAAAAGAATGAATGAGTGAGTGAATAAATGAATGAATGAATAAACAACCGAACAAATGGATGAATGAACGAATAAATGAATGAGTGACGGAATGAATGAACGAGCGAACGGATGAATGACTGAATTATCTTTAAATATTTAACCAGTGGAAAATATATATAACTTTTTCAACTTTTATTTATTTTTTTCTTTTCTTTTTTTTATTGATGAATGAATGAGTGAGTGAACAAATTAGTTGATGAGTGAATACAAAAACCTAGGTATCAGTGTGGGAGGAGACAACTATTGCATCAAACTTTGGCCCAATCTGGGTTAGGGTTAGGCCCCTTATTTTTTTTTACACAGATTTTAAAAATTGGTTTAGGAAATTTTTTTTTATAAATAAATTTTAATTTTAAATTTTAATTTCAAAAGTAAATTAAAATTAAATGTCGGTAGAAGGTAAATAAGTTAAATGTAGTGAACTTTCCGATAATAATAAAAACAGCTCACACCTGGCGCAGGCCGGTGACCTGTAGCAGCTATGAGCTGTGAATAAATTATAATATTGATGAAAAAAACAAAAAACGAGAAAATTGGCCGAGGCAGGGCAGAAAAACGATAAAAAATGACGGAAAAACAAACCCGGGACAAAATTACAGCCGATGACCACAAAAATCATACGTAAAAACAATTTAAAATCTATGAATTTAACAAAAATAACCAGGAAATTAAAACAATCCAGCCGGCTTTGAATGTGAACAAACGATGTATGTATGTATGTATGTATGTATGTATGTATGTATGTATGTATGTATGTATGTATGTTTGTATGTATGTATGTTTGTAAATAATTCGAATTTGTGGGACGACGAGTCGTTAATTTGTAACATTTGTAATTTCTATACAAATGAAGATAATGTGTCTGCTCTCAAAGTTCTGAAAAGTGAGTTTGACAACTTTAAAGATGAAAAATGGAAAAAAGTTTGCCGAAAGGTGCCACAAGAAAGAATGATAAATTAATTGAGTGCTTTGTAATTTTGAAGGTGATGAAATTAAATAATATTCTTGATAAATGCGCAATTTTTGCCAGTGCAAATATGAATAAAGTGCCTTCGCTGGACAAATTTGTGCAAATAAATTTTAAAAGTATTAGAAAAAAGCTAAAAGAAATGCTCGATATACAACAGGTATGTTTGTTTACAACACTTGACAACCATGCTAAACAAATATCGACGCTAAAAAAACATGATAAATAATGTAGCGCCTAACATTGAGAAAGTTTGCACGAGCGAGTCAGTTATCAAAAACAACGCCATTGTTCCTCAAGAGGTTAACCCAACAACAAATGATACTAGAAGCAGCAACAACAATTCCACTAACTCCAATCTGTGGTCAAATGCTGTGTTGATGCCGACAGAAAAAATCGAATAACCTTTCACGCTGGTTAGATCAAAAAAGAGACCGCGAATAACTAACAGTCCTGAGATGGATGAAAGAAACGAGGTTAGCAACAACAACAATGGGATAACTGTTAATAATAAAATCACAAAACCAACAAAAAAAATTATTGGTAACAAAAAGAACGACGATAACTGCAAAATCAAGGCGAACAAAATGTTCATTAAAAAATCGTTTTTCTCAATGAGCAACGTTCAGAAATCCCACAGAAATAACGTCATTGATTATTTAAAATCTATTGAAATAAACGTCATCTCGTGCTACCCAGTCGTGAAACGCGCAGATACTTCAACAACTGACAACACCAGCAATGACGACACAGAGTCAACAATGTTCAAAGTGTGCATTGAAAGCTGTGACGCTGCCAAAATGAAAAACCCCGACCTCATCCTGCAGTACATCATCGTCAGAGATTGGCGTTTCAATCAACAGAAAATAAACGACACCAATAACAGCAAGCATGGATGATGAAATTTTTGCTTATGTTAATGATGAAAATTATGACAAAAACCTTGAAAACTTGTGTAAAATTTATAATGTAATGAATTTTAATTCAGATATGACCACACTTAAGAGACATTATAAAGATGATTTGTTCCACGTCCTTCATATAAACATAAGAAGTTTACTGAACAAATCAGATGATGTTTATGAATTCTTGCAAGAAATAAATTTAGAGGCAGATATCCTTGCAATTACTGAGAGCTGGCTCAATGATGATAACGAAAATTTAATAAATATTGACGGATATACATTTGAAGGCAAACACCAAACGAGAAAACATGGAGGAGGCATTGGTTTCTACATCAAACAAAATCTTCATTATAAAATTCGTGATGACATAACAAATTTAAATGATGAAATTGAATTTTCTGTTGTAGAAATCTTGAATAAACCTGCCGTAAAAATGTTTTAATGATTGTGATCTATCGACCACCATCGCATGATGTCGAATCTCTCTAACTGTTTAGATCACATTCTACTAACGACCAACAATGAAAACAAATCGATTATTCTGACAGGAGACTTCAACATCGATTTGTCGAATGCAAACAACAATAAAAATAAAATAAATTTCTTACAGCTTTTGAACAGCTACAACTTACAACAAACAATATCTACTCCTACAAGAATTGAATTCAACCGACAATCCATTATCGACAACATTTTCACAAATATCTCTGAAAGCATTGTAACATCAGGAGTTATTACCCACCATCTTCTTGATCATTTGCCAATTTTCTCCATTTTTAATCAAACAAAAAATGTGCAACAAAAAACGAAGATAAAATACCTTCAGAAAAATTTTCATACTCATCTAAACGAATTAATGATCTGAACGAACGACTTCGACAACAAGACTGGCAAGCTGTATACAACAACAAAAACGTTGATGAAGCATTCCAAACTTTTATAAGTTTTTTTCAAAAATGTTTCTATGAAAGCTGTCAAATCACCAATCGTAAAATCATGTCGAAATCGTTAAAAGACAAACCGTGGGTCACTTCAGAATTGAAAAACTTAATCAAAAAACGAAATAAAAGCTACAATAAATATATCTTAAATCCCAATCCATATAACTTAAATAAATTCAAAAATTTCAAAAAAAAACATGTTATAAATTAAATAGAGTTTAAAAAAAATTATTACTACTATCTTCTTGAAAAATATAAAAAAGACAGTAAAAAAACGTGGGCCATCTTGAGTGATTTGAAAAATGGGAAGAACATACAAAACAGGGTGCACCAAATAACGAAAGAAGATTCTGAAATATCAGGCCCAGCAAATGTTTTGAACAATCATTTCATCAACTTAGCACCAAACTTATTGCAGTCGATCACACAAAACTCCCACTGGAAGAATTATTTTAAAACGTCTGTATCAAGTTTATTTTTCTGTAGATACGTCACAGCAAATGAAATCATTGCAGCAACAAAATCTCTGAAGCAAAAAACATCAAGCGGTTTCGACAACATACCATCAAAAATCGTCGTCTCCACAATCCATTCAACTGTTTCTGTTTTAGAATATTTGATAAATCTGTCCTTCGAAATGGGTTCATTCCCAAGTTGCTTCAAAATTGCAAAAATAATCCCTGTTGAAAAAGTTTAAAAAAGTACAGATTTGTCAAATTTTCGACCAATAGCACTTCTGCCAACCTTTTCGAAAATTTTGGAAAAAATCATGCATCAACGAATGAGTAGTTTTCTACAAAAAAACAAAATTTTATCAAATTGTCAATTTGGCTTCAGAGAAAAGTACTCAACAGAACTAACAATCGTAGAGTTGATTCGGAAAATTGGTTTCCATGCCGAATGTAAGAAATATATAATTGGCACATGCTTGGATCTATCCAAAGCATTTGATTGCATCAACCACAGCATCATGTTGAACAAGCTTGAAAAGTATGGCTTCAGAAGCACGACACTCCAATGGCTACGAAGTTATTTGACCGGCAGAAAACAATTCGTTTGTATAAATAACTAAACGTCTGGCATGCTCAACAACAACCATGAACCATGGTGTCCCTCAAGGTAGCATCCTGGGTCCGTTGTTGTTCATCCTCTACGTGAACGATTTACCAACTGCATCAACGTTCTTCGATTACATCATTTACGCGTATGATACAAACGTCTTCAGTAGCGGCAAATCAATCAACGAGCTCATTGAAAACACAAACGAAGAGTTGAAAAATATTGTCTGTTGGTTTGAAGCTTATAAACTCACGATCAATTCATCAAAAAGCCAGGTAATGATATTTTGGCCAGTTCAATACCTCGACTACAAAGAACCCTACAAAATCAAGTTAGATGATGATACAATTGAGGAAACAAAACGCTTGAAATTTGTAGGCGTATATTTTGAGTCAAAACTTTCGTTCAAACATCACACAAAATATATTGCAAATAAGTTATCAAAGACAATAGGAATGATAAATAAAGTAAAATCATTCCTTCCTAGAAAATGTCTGAATTTGCTGTACAATTCTCTGTGCGCGCCGTTGATAACTTACTGTAACACAATCTGGGCGTCATCGTATCACGCAACCACGATGCCAGTAGAACGTTTGATGAAACGAGCAGTTACAATTGTGACAGGATCCATACGAAAAAACCACAGTCAACCGCTCTTCAACATAAAGCGAAATTTAAATTTTTCGAAGTTGAACATATATTTTGAGAACAGTTGACGAACAGATTGCCAGAGTTGTTTCAAGATTATTACAGGATGAAAAAGCAATCTCTAAAAACCAACAACTTCGTCTCCAACAAATCGAAAACGAACATCATGTTTTCACACATGTTCTCTAAAGGGCCAAGAACTTGGAACGAAATCGTAAACAACGGTTTCGATGTTGATTTCAATTCATTGCATGGTTTTAAAATAAAATTGAAGAACTATCTAATTAAACATACGTGACTGTCATAATCTTACTCACAAATACTATATTTTATCCTGACATTGAAAACATATAAAACTTTTTTGTTAAAAACTGCCAATTTTTACTTATTTCTGTTATTCTATTTATACTATTAAATAATTTTTGCTATATGATTCATGAAATAGAATTATTATTTTATTTACTGAACATTTTTGTTTAAACACGGAACATTTCTGATTAGGTGGCCAGGCCATACCAGATGAATTTCTATACAAATTCTATTATGGTCTTCCTGCTTTCTTATTATTTTTGAATATTGAGAAGCAAATAAAATTTTGATTCGTTTTGTTTCGTATGTATGTATGTTAAAACCAAAACATGATGGGTGACACTGAACCGTCAAACATCAAGTAACAAATGGATTAACACTTTGATTTGTCGTTAATTGCACATGTCGGCATTCAGTTGGATATTTTCAAGCACACAGACACGCAGGAACCGCTGCAACAAGCACGAAATGTGGTTAGTTGCGAAAAACAGTTCTCTGCTGTTGCCTGATCTGACGCTAATCATTTTACATATTGCCTTAAGAAATTTAAGGGTGTTGGGGTCCATCGGGCCGAAAACCTCGATACATATTGGCAAGACTTCCATCGAGGGGAGGGCGTTCCCATATTTTTTCATTTTCTCGTCCGCTGTCCTGGCCGCGGCCAAACCGCATTCTTTACTTGTCAGGTTTACATATCGTTCGGTAAGGGTGCCAGGGACCGTAACATCCCACGCCAAACATCTACCGGCTCTCCAAGTTATTAGTGTGCATCCGTCCGGGCGCCTACCATCATGTATGTATGTATGTATGTATGTATGTATGTATGTATGTATGTATGTATGTATGTATGTATGTATGTATGTATGTATGTATGTATGTATGTATGTATGTATGTATGTATGTATGTATGTATGTATGTATGTATGTATGTATGTATGTATGTATGTATGTATGTATGTATGTATGTATGTATGTATGTATGTATGTATGTATGTATGTATGTATGTATGTATGTATGTATGTATGTATGTATGTATGTATGTATGTATGTATGTATGTATGTATGTATGTATGTATGTATGTATGTATGTATGTATGTATGTATGTATGTATGTATGTATGTATGTATGTATGTATGTATGTATGTATGTATGTATGTATGTATGTATGTATGTATGTATGTATGTATGTATGTATATATGTATGTATGTATGTATATATGTATGTGTGTATGTATGTGTGTATGTATGTGTGTAGGTATGTATGCGCATGTATGTTTGCAAAAAGAAAACAAAAAGCGACGAAAGATGAAGCAACTGAATTGATCGACGCGTGAAAGGATGAAAAAAGCGGAAGTAGAAAATTAAAAACGAGAGAACGAATGACAGGTTGACTGATTGGTTGACTGATTGATTGACTGATTGTTTGACTGATTGGTTGACTGATTGGTTGACTGATGGATTGATGGATTGATGGACAAAATGCTGTAAGAAAGAACAACTTGACAGAAATGCGTCAGCATAATACCAATGAAGAAAAAAACTAGAAAAACAAAACAAAACGAATGAATAAAAAAATAAAAAAATTAACAAAATAAAAAAATGATTAATTCAATTGAACGAACAAAATGAATAAAGTGAACAAATGGCATTTTGAGTAAATGAGTTAATAAATAAGCGAGTTCCGCAATAATTTATTTTCTTAGGAATGTCTTTCCCGTCCATGAATGATTGTTGCCCGCGAATGCTGAGTTGTTCATTGATGAATGCCGCACTCACATGCGCCGTATCCTTTGTTCGATTGATTTTTAAAGACGTGTAGGCTGACTTGAAGACGCTCGCCAGGTGCTGCGGATGTTCAGCCGCTCGCCAGGTGCTGCGGATGTTCAGCCGCTCAAATGCAGCCGATGACGTCTAGTAAAAATCGATCCAACGACAAATTGAATCGACTGTTCATAGCGATAAATAAATAAATAAATTTTGAAGACGCAGGTGTTGCGGATGTTCAGCCGATCTGAATATTCATGCATTACTTCTCATCCTGTCCTAGCCACGACTTCAGTTCAGTTGAACAGAAATGTACAAATCAATTACCATCGGCAGTTGGCAACATTCCGCACCTGCGCCTCTCCAACGAGACAATGAAGAGCGGAAGTCAGGATGGAGTTGTAAAGAAAAAGAAGTTTTTAAAATTGTTTTGAAATAAATTTCTTATTAGAAACATAATATTGATATATATGTTTTTATTTATACTTAGCACTGTTACGGTGTCCTATAAATACAAAATGAAAATTTGCACCAACAGATCGAAATTTGGTAAAGATAACTAATATATATCCCAAAAAGTTTTTTAATGAAATGTTGAAGTTGTTGTTGTCGGGCATCGTGTTGATCAGTTGTCTGGCTTTGACAACTTGTCTGCCGCCAGCTGAGCAGGATGAGCCTTCCAACCTGCCTCCAGCGGTCCAGTATGAAGGTCCACCTCCCTCTGCAACACTCAATGAAAAGGCTGTAGTTAGTTTGGCACACTTGAAAACTTTAAATAGAATTTGTTTCATGAATGTGCCGGTAATTTTTTCATTAACTTTTTCTCTAGGTCTTTATTATATAACAATCAATTACAAATTATTTGTCTAAATTAAAACTTTACATTTAGAAATTCCTGAAACGTTTTGGTTATTTGAGAGAAAGCAACGACAATAATCTTGTGAGTGCTGAAGAGGCCATCAGATCAATGCAAGCACATGCAGGCTTGCTACAGACAGGTTCAGAGAGCTTTTTATTATTGTATTCTAAATTATCTAATAAGAAATACCAAAAATTGAACTGGTAACTCATATCTAACATTCTGAAAATAAGAATAAATAAATAACAATTAATTAAACTGAGCAAAACGCGTGAAGGCACACTTGATGAGGCGACTATGGCAAAGATGGAATCACAGAGATGTTCCTTCCCCGACGTGATGACAGCCGAAGATAAAAAGAAAAGATACTCTGTTGTTTGTTAGTAGCAATTTTTTTAATCATTAGATGTTTTGCAATCTACATTATTCATCTCATATCCTAAATATTGATATTATTAACCACTACCAACTTATATGCTCAAAATAATCAATTGTAATAATTTTAATTAATGAATGCTACTTTAAATGTTCATAATAAAATTTGTGATGATGTTTTCAGCCAGGTGGAGAAACGAAACTTTAACTTACGGAATTTTCAACTACCCCAATTGTACAATCTACACAAATGATCAAATTGATGCAATCATCGCGGAAGCTGTTAATGTAAATTTTGAAATGATATTGTTAATAAAACTTTTTAATTATTCAAGATTCTTAAAAATTTAAGGAATGGGTTAAGATTGACCCGTCGTTGAACATTACTAAATTCGTTTCCGGGACTCCCAAAATAAACATCAGTTTTGTCTTTTTCGATCATTCTGATAAATACCCATTTGATGGGCCTGGTAAGGTTCTAGGACATTGCTTTTACCCTGGCACAGGCCAAATGCATTTTGACAACTCGGAATGTTGGGGTGATGGCACGAATGGAAGTAAGAATTCATTACCAATCTTTTAATACTAACGTTTTAAACCATAAGTTGTTGTATTTCAACTTTAATTTTATGCGATTTGATGCAATCAATTTATTGAAATGGAAAAATCAAAACTTTTTATTATTTACATTTTAGCTAAGAATCTAAAATACGTAGCAATACATGAGCTTGGTCATTGTCTTGGCTTGGGTCACTCAAACGATTCGTTGGCAATTATGAATGCTTATTACCCCTCAAATAATACTCAATGTAAGCCTGCCGCTGATGATACTGCTGGAATTCAATCAATGCATACGACGGCGTCTCCTTAAATGAATAAATTGTCCAAATAATGATGAAAATTGACTTATGAAATATTATCTTAAATAATTAGAACTCACAATTTCTTAGTAGTTAGTTGTAATAAAATTACTGCATGCTTCAACATGTGTTCAGATTTTTTTATCGAAAATATTAGCGCGAACATTGAATTAAAAAATTATTTGAAAAAAATGATGTTTATTAAATAAAATTTTTAATTTTTATTCCAAACAACCTCAGAACAAATTTTTAAAAATATTTTTGAAAATCTCTATATTGGACTGGAACATTTGTATTGAAGTTTATTTTTTTAATCTCTCTTCAAATAATTAGTCTTAAAAGATTCTAACTAAAATTTAGCCTCATTTACAAAATAGTGTTTTTAAAATTTGTTGTTATATAAATAATTTTTGTATTTAAAAAAAACGGGATTCAACGGTTCAGGTCGCGAATAAAATTGATTTCAATTGTACTTTGGCATACGTCGTCCTTCCTGGCCGTCCGTGAGTTGTCTGTAACTGTTGGTTGCTGGGTATCATTTTATAATTGTTGTTTGAAACATGTAATAAAATGTAAAGTGCGCTATCGTGAGCACCTGCGGTTTATTTATTTTTTATTCTTTATAATGCAGCTCCATCGAAACGCTGAGCTGCTTACGTGTTATTTGATACTTATAATTAAACTTTCGTGCCACAAACGCTGTACAAGTATCCTATCCACACTACACGACGCACATACCCACTCCGCAGGCACGTGCAAGACCGCATTATACGCATATGATGAACTTTGGGTTTCGGACAGATAGTATTCGATCCATGTCACTGCCACATATTTCATTGATAGCGTTTCCTGATATGTCGTCGGCATTCGACTGTGTTGACCATGATATACTATTGAAGAGGTTACGTTTTAGCTACGGGTTTTCATACTTGACAAACCGTACACAACATGTTTCTCTTCTGAATGTGCTGACTGATAATGCAAAGGTCAACTATGGAGTTCCACAGGGTTCGGTCCTGGGACCAACTCTGTTCATATTATAAGATCCTTGGTTTTCATGGATTCATTTGACATTCCTTTGCTGATGACATTCATATACTAGTCACCGGTCATTCATGTGACCCTCGTTAAAGCTTAATCGATTCAAAACACATATATTTTCAGTTGGCACATGGCAGCAATTCTCAAAGTTTTGTATTAATTCCGCTAAAGTTAGTAATGCTATGGTACCATTCAGTCAAACAGCAAATGTTTGGCTCAAAGATCACATTAAGACAATATTAATTTCGTGCAATATTTACCTTAAAAATTTATATCGAGTCAGACATTGATTGGGTAGATCAGTTATGGAAACATTGGTGCACCCTTTATAATTTTTCATTTGAATTATTGTAGCTGTTACAATATTGTAGCTGTTGTACAAATTGTCAAATGAATCAATTGCTGTTCTTCAATTGATTCAGAATAGATCTGCAAAGTTGATAACTGGCAGTTTAAAACTTGACCGCGTAACACCAAATCTGAATGAACTTCATTGATTGACAATTGACAAAGAATATTTTTTTACATTGGTGTGATTGTCTTTAAAGCACTTAATGGTCTAGCACCAAAATATGTGGCGAAGTTACATACTGGTTTTCAAAATATTGCTGTTGCTGGTCCTACTGTGTGGAACAACCTGCCTGCATCATTTTGAAAAACTGGACTGTTTTTTACACCGTTCAAAAATAAATTGAAAACATTTTTTGTTTTCATTGAAGTTACATTGAAGTTACATTGAAGTTACATTAAAGTTACATTGAAGTTACATTGAAGTTACATTGAAGTTACATGGAAATGTTTTAGTTTTGTCACGTACAGTTTGTTTGAATTTTTAGAGCGCCCGTGAAAATATTTAATAGGTGCTATATGTAATGATTCTTAATATACTGCCTGACAACAGCACATGAGCTAACTCAGCGACCAACCCACAATCTTCTGCTACTTCCTCAAAGGACAAAGTGAAGTTCGTCTTATATTGGTTTTAGTATCGATGGATACCTACACGGTCGAGCCAGGTTCTTCCTCCGGAGCGCACCACACCAACAAGCACGTAAAATAATTTGTGAAATAATTTAATAAAAAAAAATTAAAAAAGCGTGCGTGTCCGTTAATTTACGGAGAGACTAACGGCCAAATTAAAAACAGCCTGTCGTATAAAAGTGTAAACAAATCAGCAAATATAATTGGTGGTGAGATGATGGCGTGCACTTGTTGAATGTAAATTTCAGTATTGCGGAAGAATACGCCGTAAAGCTATAATTGATTAATCGAACGATTGAAGTATTGAATAAATAAACGATTGGTTGATTGAATGATTGAATGAATGAACGGTTGATTGATTGAATGATTGAATGAATGAACGATGGTTGATTGAATGTATGAACAATTAAATGACTGATTGAATAAACGATTGATTGATTGACTGACCGATTGATTGATTGATTGATTGACTGACTGACTGACTGACCGACCGACCGACCGACCGACCGACCGACCGACCGACCGACCGACCGACCGACCGACCGACCGACCGACCGACTGACTGACTAACTGACTGACTGATTGATTGATTAATTGATTTATTAATTGATTGACAATTGCTAACAAAATGTTTATAGCACGTTCAACAGCTGCTAAATATGTTCAATTTAAATGAACTGACCGTCAAGAATAACCACTTGAGAAAATTGTTCATGAACAATATGGAATTATCGCGCTGAAAATTATTATCCTGTAATTTTTTTAAATATATTAAAACAAGTCATTAATTTTACATTGTAATATATTTTATTCCATACGTAATAACTTCTATTAAAGTTAACGATAAAGTTTCTTGGATGTCCCAATTAAAAAATCTACTGCACTATTTAATAGAGGATTATTTCTTATTTAATATTTTGGCTTAAAAGAGGATTATTTCTCTAACTCACAAAATTGTGCCTGTAGCGTGTCTTGTTTAACGTTAGCCAATATGATTGTTTTAACTTGAATAATGAATTGAATTTTTTTATTTTCAATCATTTTTTCATGTCTTAATTTATTTGACCTCGTTTTGTATAATTGATGTCAATCCTCAGTCATCAACACCGAACGAGATGAAAGAATAATAACCGATGATAAGTGTCACAAAGAATTAATTTTTCTTTTTAGCAATCATTTGTTTCAAGTGAATATCTGTCTTTCAAATTTTTACCGACGATATGGAATGCCATATTGTAACAACACTCAGTTCTCTAGACGGCTGGCTCTACACAGCTGGTCACTTGCATCCATATCTAGAGAATGAATGGAGTATGCGTTCGATGTTGACAACTGCATTTATTATTATCGTGGTTTTTATCGTGCATTTTTAGATTTTGTGCTTCATTTTCTTCGTTGAAAGATGCCTAAGTAGAGTGGTCAGTCAAAAATGTCTTGACGGTTAATAATTTTGATATTTATTGGGAAACTATTGACATTAGATACAACAAATTTATGAAAATTCGTATTCGTTAAATTTAAATATTAGTTATAAAATAAAATGAATTATAAATTTTTGTAAAAAATCTATTTCAAAGTCAATACATCGATGACGCAATCAGACAATGAAAAGTTGGAAGTTGAAAATAAAAATGAACGTCTTGAAAAACAAATTTGCTTAAAAACGATGATTCAAACCGTTACACACATTCACATTATACGACCAAAGTTTAAGGATGTCTATTTATTTATATGCAGTATGCCAACACAACTGAATTTTTAAAATAATTTCATTTGTAAAATTGATCTACACTGGATAGAGTTCTTGAATTCCAGCTATATCGTCCAGCGACAGAGTGAGGTTTGCCTTAAATCCGGTGTAGTACGGGTACATGATTGAACCTTTCACACTACTGTGGTCCAGGCCAAGGGCGTGCCCAATTTCATGAATTGCCACCCAATCAAAATTGGCCCCTGATAATTTTGTAAGATGCATAATAAATTTTTTGGTCATGATGGTTGGTCAGCAATGAATGCTTTCTAAGAAATTAAAAAAATACAACATTAGATGATTTTTGACTTGAGACTTTGGTTTAATAATATATATCTTTATATAATGTGTTTTACATTAGCTGTGTCATTTAAATTGAACCCAATAAATAGTTTAAAATTGAATCAATAAATTATTTAAAAACGTAAACATTCTATAAGAAGGCCAAGTTTTTAGAAATTTTGAACTTCGACAATGAGAGTAATTTTTTAATGGAAAAACAATAAAAAGGATGCAAAATAATTTTCAAAAAAATACTTGATCTATTCAAAATAAAAATACTACCACTGTTGGTAGCAGTGCTCCAAGATTCGTCGGCGTCAAAATGCACCTCCCCGTCAGTCGGGTAGAATGCGTGAGCCAGCACTCCACCTGGTCCATCAAATGAACTTCCGTCTCCATGGTCCAACCGGGCAAATTTCAAATTTATCACGGCCTTCCTTGAACTTGTGCTTGAAATCAACGAGAATGAAAGTTTGGGAGCGTAAATAGCCCACGTCTGAAATATGTTCAAAGTTTTATAACCAATTCATTAAACAGTCTACTGATGCATTTGTTTTATTATGTTAAATCTTCTCACTGCTAAAGAATTTCTGATGATTTTATCTATCCCGGAATTGGTCAAGTTGATTGTTTTGTTTGGATAATTAGCAAGTTTGTACGTCAAGTTTGTTGATGGCCAGGGCTCTTTTCAGGTTCCCAACCGAAAATTTGAAAATTTAATAAACGTATAATTTTTATAAAAAATGTTATTTGAATAATAAAAAAACAAATACCAGCAAGAAGAAATCTCTTTGTTCTGTTTTTCTTCTCAAAAACATCCGGGTTTTGGCATCTTGGAGTCATCAACAAATTTATCGTTTCATCGTTTAAATCACCTGGATGTAAAAAAAATATGAACCTGCAAATTAATATTTTCAATATAATCGGAAGTTTACTGTAACATAATAAAATCAACTTAAAACGAAATAATGTCAATTAATTTACGACCAGTTTGGTTGGCACCGGCAAATTTTTGCACTTTTTCAACAGAACGTCGAAACGTGACGTTCGAGTTTTCGTCATCACTCATTTTCATGTAACCGAACTTTTTGAAGTATCTCTACATTTAAAAATATCAACATTTATACATATAAATAAAAAAAAACTAAGAAAAATGTAATTAACGTAAGCATCCTTTTTGGTGAATCTCTTTCCAGCTGGCAGTCCACCAACGAGGAAGAAGATGCAGCATGCCGTTGCTATGCTGATGAGATACGCTGCCATCCAAGGTTTCATTCTTCAAATTAGTTCTCTGAACTTCTAGGATTTAAATTTATTTTTGACAGTAAAAATTCTGTAATTGATCACGTTTGGGAACCTAAGCCTGATGGCAGGTTATATAGAGTTTGATCAAGTGCTGACCCGCTGAACTTTTAGGACAAGAAATGAAAGGAATGCTGGTGACATCGTTGCAGACTTCGTGAGGAATTGTATTAAGTGTAATAATAATAATATTATTGTTATTATTATTATCATTATTATTATTGTATATATTAAATACATTTCATTAAAATTCATTTTATTAGACATTTCCTGTTATCATTAGATCTTCATATTTTGACGAGTAAAAAATAAAATATGTTTCCATTATCATTATTATTGTTGTGGTGGTTGCTGTTATTGTTATTATTATCTTTATTATTATTATTTATTCAATTATTGGTGCTACAAGTTATAAAATAATAGTAATTTCGTATTTAATCGATACATTGAACTATAAATCGTGCATATAAACATTATCAACTAGTTATTATGTTTTTTATTTAATTGTAACAAGAGGCATTGACAATAAAAATTTTGTTGTTATCATTGTTGTTGTTGATGTTGTTAATATTGTTGTTAATGCTGTTGTTAGTGTTATTGTTGTTATTGCTACTGTTTTATTAGCTGTAATAAATGTGAACTGAGCATCACCCACGTTGCATTTCATGTTACGACCGTTGTCTCAAAAGTTGTCACTGCTTTCAAATTCGGGTCAAACGATAAACGAGTGCTGTTGGCTGCTGATTGTTGATTGCAACAATGTGAACTAAGATTTCAACGGGTCGTAATGTGGATAACGTGACATGTTCAACGTTTGACGTAGAAATTTTCAATTAAATTAAATATTTGCAAGCAAGTGAAATATTGCGACCGTAATTATTTTATAATTAGTTTTATTGTTTTATTGCAAAGTTTGGCCTCACTTGTTTCCTACGGTTCTTTCATACATAAGTACAAATATGTGTTCATGCATACGAAGACACAAGCATGCATACATACAAACAATCAAACAAACATACGCACATATAAACATACACTAATACATACATACATACATACATACATACATACATACATACAATAGGTATACATATATAATATACATAATGTAGGGGATACATACAGGATGTGTATGTTGGTCTCGCACAGACTGGTTAGTTTTTTGAATTCTCAAAATAAAGTTTAAAATTAGGTATTTATTCATTACACTATCACTTGGTTTTAACCTAACTTTGATTTTACAATTTTGTATCTTGTTTTTCGTTATTCTTCTAATAATATTGGTCTTATATTAAGCGTTTCTCACTTTTAATTCACGTATATTCATTTTACAATTGTACTGCAAAATTTTTTTTTTCTCATTTCACCTGCATACCTTAAGTTAAACGACGTTTATTTTTTTTTTGCGTTTATATCTTTCACTAAATCCCAACATAAATTCATTTTAATAAATTATCTAGGAAATTCATTCATTCATTTAGTCATTCATTTTTTCAATGTGGTCTAAACTATGCGACGGCATATTTGTAAACAAACTTAATTTATTCGTACAACAGCAAATTTCGTAATTTCAAGTTCTTACCCCTGCACACTGGTATACAGTTGCACACTTGCACGCGGTTTCCACTAATTTCTACGGAAAAAAAAAACTAAACAGGAACAAAACAAAACAAAACAAAAAAACTAACTAGTTACTTCTCTGAGTATAAGCCGGTGTATACATATGTGCAGGTGCCTTTATACATTTGCATATATGTACGCATTCTCATCTAGTCGCTCATCAATAATATTCAATCAATACCAAAAACTAGCCATAATCACCAATTTAGTTAATTCATCATAATTCATCATTTCATTTAATCGTTCATCAATAGCAATCAATTACCACCAATATTAGTGCATGTATGTATATGTATGTATGTATGTATATATACGTATATATATGTATATATAGGCATGTATTCTCAGATAATCATTCATCAATAATAATCAATCACAACCAAATACTAGTACATATATATAGGCATTCATTCGCATTTAATCGTTCATCAATAATAATCAATTACTACCAATACTAGCGCATATATATACACACACTATTCTAGGCCCAGACTCACATACCTCCTACCTTCACAAACCTTTGAACGGCTCCCAGGGCGGGCAGCGCACGTATTTTTTTGTCTTTTTTTTGTGTGCTTCAGCACCGTTCACTAGCGGGCCCCCCAGAGCACATTTCCGTTATACCCTCAAGTGGGTTGTGTTACTTCCTCTCGGCCAGCGCTTATTGCAGCCATCCTTTGTTGTCCCATCGGTGCACTTCACTTCAGTCATAGTTATCGTTGGTAGTAGTTTTTTTTTATATTCTCCATTGGTTTTATTGTATTCTTATGGCTTCTAGCCAGAGCTCCTCTTCTGGTTCCAGCACTCTCACTCGTTGTCACGTATGTTCCAAACATTTTCGTTTGCGTCCCGATGGCGCATTGGTTAGGCATGGAGGAAAGGTTAAAGGTTCAGAATGTTCCGGTTCCCTGGCGAAGCCCAGGACCGGGTCAAAACGCGCGTCATTTGGAAACGTTTCCGGGTGCGCCCCTCCCGCCACTGCCGTCGGCAACGCCTCGATCAGCAGTGCTGCACCGCAACAGGCTTCTAAAAGCGACATGGCAGAGAGGTTCTTCAGAAAATCTGCTAGTTTTTGTTTAATGGATCACATTCCCAAACATTCAAGAACAAAATTTGGTCAGACGCTGGCTAAAGTGGTAAAGGAAATTATTGATAAACCCTCTACTTCAATCAGTTGGTTCAAATTGCTCTTTTTACCAGCAATGATCTTGAGGAAAAGTCACCGCGGCGGCAGACGCCATAATCCAACTGGATTAATCAATCAGAGGATTGACGATTTTGGCGGACAATCCGTCGAGAAGATGGCTGACCGCTTAGAACTCGTTAATAAATTGGAGAATAATAAATCAGCCGAATCTAAGTTGATATCTTCGGTAAAGTCTAAGATCGAAAAAGGAAACATAAAAAATGCGATGCAGCTCCTGTCATCAACGGACACCGTGGCACCTGATACTGAAGAGACTATACGTGCTCTAAAGTCTAAACATCCCGCCGCACCCAACAACAAACAGCAAAGTCCCTCCAAGGAAAGTTCAAGCTTGTGCGTTACATCTCAACAAGTACTGGTTTGCTTAAAAACTCTCCCAAAGGGAACATCAGGTGGCAGTGACGGCCTTACGCCGGAGCATCTGAAAGACCTCACATCTTCAAAAACAGATTCGATTGATCTTATCAACTCAATCACTGCATTTATCAACATGATCTTAAATGGTGATTGCCCACCTGATGTGGCCCAATACTTTTTTGGCGGAAGGCTGGTGGCCCTATCGAAAAATGCGGCGGGATCAGACCCATAGCAGTCGGGTGTGTGTGGAGGCGCTTGGCCGCAAAATGCGCCATGTTAGCCGTCAAGGACAGAGTGGTTCCAATTTTACAGCCACAACAGGTGGGTGTCGGCGTCAGTGGTGGGGCGGAGGGAGCGGTACATGCGGTGAGACGATTTTTGGATGGCACGCGTGATGGCCAGTGTTTGCTCAAATTGGATTTTTCCAACGCTTTTAATACTCTAAGACGCGACCATATGTTGAACTGCGCCAAATCCATTCTGCCGGAGATTTTCAATCTCTGTTATTCGGCTTATGACTCGCCTTCTTTCCTGTCCTTCGGCGACACTAGGATCCTGTCAGCTGAGGGTGTTCAGTAGGGAGATCCTCTGGGTCCCCTTCTTTTCGCACTCTCTGTTGACCCACTAATTAAAACACTAAAATCCAAATTTGTTGTTGCCTACCTAGACGACATTTCATTGGGAGGTGATGTCGAGTCCGTTTTGGACGACCTTAATACTATTATAAATTCAGAAAATAACATAGGTTTAAAACTTAATTTTGAAAAATGCGAGTTGTATATGAACAAACCTATTACACTTAACATTAAATATCCAATTAAAACCCTTGAAAAAAACGAGATCGATTTTCTAGGCTCAATAATTTTTCCTGGTGAAAGCCAAAACATATCCATAGCTAAAAAATTTGAAAATTTTAAACTTATCACCCAAAGGCTAAATATCATCAATAAACATGATGCAATGGTCCTTCTATTACAAGCTGCTTTTTTGCCTCGTCTTGTTTATTTTTTGAGAACATCCCCTCTGTTGGATGTTTCGATCCTCAATAGTTTCGACGATCACCTCCGTGACGCATTCCAGTCCATCTTCAACATAAAACTCGATCGAAAAAATTGGTTACAGGGGACGCTGCCTATATGTGTTGGTGGCCTGGGTTTGGGTTCCGCGGCTGAGCTGGCACCTTCTGCCTTTTTGGCTTCTGCTGCTGCCACGGTGGCCCTCCAGGATCTGATGTTGCCTAGGGATGTGATTTACGTCGATAACTTCAGATTGCAAGTATACGACATGTGGCGCGCCACCAACGGAGATGTGGTTGCGCTCGAAAACCCCTCGCAAAAACACTGGATCGCCCCCTGTCTTAATAGATCAGTTGATCGATGGCTGCAATTGAATGGCTCTGCTTTTGACAAGGCTAGAATTATGGCTGTCAAAAGTGAGTTGGGCTCCGCCTGGTTGAGAGCGCTACCCAACACTTCCTGCGGCACTAGATTGGATGACTCCTGTGTTCGCGTGAGCCTTGGTTTGAGACTTGGAGCCCAGATCGTCACCGAATACGAATGTGCATGTGGGGCAAGGGTTGATGAACTTGGATACCATAGCCTTTCTTGTCGTCTAGGCCCAGGAAGACAAGCCAGACATACGGCTGTCAACGAATACCTGGTACGATGTTTTCAAAAGGCTGGTATCCCGGTTATAAAAGAACCCATGGGTTTGATAGAGGAAGGAGCCTTTAGGCCTGATGGTTACACTATCACCCCATGGGCCCAGGGACGGTCCCTTGCTTGGGACGTTACCATACCCCACACTATGGCTGACCGATACATCGGCTACACTTCAGTTGAGGCGGGCACTGCTGCCCTTAAAGCGTCCGATTTCAAAAATGAAAAATACGTTTCATTAAACAATTTAAGCAAAATATTTCAACCCATTTGCATTGAAACGTTCGGACCAACAGATAAGCACACGTCATTATTTATTAACGAATTAACAAGAAAAATAGTTAATATAACGGGTGATCCTAACGAAGGCAATTATTTAAAACAAACTCTTTCACTTTTATTACAAAAATTTAATTCCTTCTGCATTCTGGATGGAGCTGCTAGATACCTGACTGTGCGAGACCAGGGACATAGATAAAAGTTGAACTCGGAAGGGATTGCATGCCTAACCATGGCTTGTTCATCAAAACGGGTTCATACATACATACATACATACATACATACATACATACATACATACATACATACATACATACATACATACATACATACATACACACATACATACATACATACATACATACATACATACATACATACATACATACATACATACATACATACATACATACATACATACATACATACATACATACATACATACATACATACACACATACATACATACATACATACACACATACATACATACATACATACATACATACATACATACATACATACATACATACATACATACATACATACATACATCATACTCATCAAGTGGTAGCCGTCTTTTATACCACATTTCCATTTTGTTTGTTGCCGTCACCAAGTGGTATCCGTCCTTTTTACCACTGTTTGTTTTCGTTCCCTCTATGTTGTTTGATTTTAACTTGGTTTTAACTACGCCAATAATTGAATTGGCTTGACTTGTTAACCTTGGTTGAACCATTCCGTTCAGGCGCTCCATCCTGCACTATGCCTTGTAGTCAATCATCTAGCTCAGGTCTTACCCGTTGCCATGTTTGCAATATGCATTTTTGTACCCGCCCAGATGGGGCACTTATGCGTCATGGGGGAAAAGTTAAGGGTTCTGAGTGTCCCGGCTTTCTCGCCAGGCCTCCGGTGGTGCTAAAACGTATGTCTTTGGGAAATGCTGGTAATCTTTCTATCAGGAAAAATCATGTTGTGCTTGCCCCAAAAGGCGACATGGCAGATGAATTTTTTCTAGATCTGCAAGTTTTTGTTTGCATGATCACCTTCCCAAGCAGTGCAGACCCAAATTTAGTCAGGTGTTGGCCAAGGTTTTGAAAGAAATTATCGAAAAACCTCATTCGCCTCCAAGTTGGTATAAGCTGTTGTTTCTGCTCTCAATGGTTCTGAGGAAGGGTCCTCCAGGGGATAAACGTCACAACCCAACAGGTGTTATTACCCAGAGATTGGATGCATTCGGAGGATGTTCGGTGGAGAAGATGGTGGAATTTTTGGAGCCTGTTGTTAAGTTTAGCCGAAGCTAAAATGATATTATCCGTTAGATCCAAGATTGAAAAAGGTAACATTCAAAACGCTCTACAACTATTGACATCAACGGATACAGTTGCACCGGTTACGAAAGAAACCATAGGTTTCCTAAGGGAGAAACATCCAAATACTCCCTCAAACAGAAAGGAATGTCCACCCAAAGAGTCTTCAGGTTCTGTACTGTTTAAAGTCTTTTCCTAAAGGAACTTCTGGCGGCAGAGATGGTTTCACGCCTGCACATCTAATAGACGTTACATCTTCAAAGGCAGACTCTTCGGATCTAGTGAATTTGATTGTCTCATTTGTCAACCTGATTCTAAGCGGGAACTGTCCGCTGGAGGTGGCTCCTTATTTGTTTAGTGGAAGACTGGTTGCCCTGTTAAAAAAAGATGGGGGTATCAGACCAATTGTAGTTGGTTGTGTATGGAGGCGTTTGGCTGCGAAATGTGCTATGCACATCATTAAAGACAGAGTTGTACCCCTCCTTCAACCTCAACAGGTGGGCGTTGGTGTTAGCGGTGGCTCAGAGGGTGCGATTCACGCCGCTAGACGTTTTGTTGATAACATGGATGATGAGAATGTTTGTTGAAACTTGATTTTTCTAATGCGTTTAACTCTCTAAGATGGGATCACTTGCTGCTCACTGTGAAGTCGGTTGTGCCAGAGTTGTACAACTTTTGTTTGTCGGCTTATGATAAGCCATCCATTCTGTCTTTTAGTGGCACAACAATTTTGACAGAAGAAGGAGTTCAGCAAGGTGACCCACTGGGTCCATTGCTCTTCTCTCTTGCAATCAACACTCTGTTGAAGTCTTTGGAATCCAAATTCATTGTCGCCTACTTGGATGACATTTCACTTAGTGGAAAGATTGAAAATGTGCTGAGGGATTTGAATTCAATTGTGGGTCGTGAGACTGATTTGGGTTTGAAATTAAACTTTAAAAAATGCGAATTCTTTACAAATTATCCAAACTTAATAGAAAATTCTTTCAAAATTAAACAGTCTCTTAAAAATGACATTGACTTTCTAGGCTCTTTTCTATTTCCTTGCAATAAACGTAATATTTGCTGGGGTGAAAATTGGAAAAATTTAAATTTATTATGTCTAGACTGAAGGCAGTTTTGAAGCATGATGCCTTGACCCTGCTGCTGCACGCGGCGTACTCGCCTCGTTTGACTTGTTTTTTTAAGAACGTCGCCCAGCCTTAATAATTTGATGCTTCAATGTTTTGAACAAACTCTCTGTGACGGCTTCCAATCGATTTTCAACGTTTACCTTGACCCGAAAGGTTGGTTACAGGCAACCCTGCCCATCTCTGTTGGTGGCTTAGGTTTAGGTACCGTGGTGGATTTAGCACCTTCTGCTGCCACGGTTCCTTTCCAAAATTTGTTGTTGCCCAGGGATAAAATACAACATTCCGACAATTCTAACAATTTCAGAATCCAAGTTTTTGATGGGTTCCGGACCGTCCACGGAGCGAAAATTGGTATCGAAACCCGTTTTCAAAAGGAGTGGAACGCTCCATTTATCAGCAGCTCAGTTGCTAAGCTGCTAGATTTGAACCAATCAAACTTTGATAAGGCCAGGATAATGGCTATAAAAAGTGAGTTGGGACCATCTTGGTTGAAGGCTGTCCCAAACTGTGGTACCAGGCTGGACGACTCTTGTGTTCGTGTCAGTTTGGGACTGAGACTCGGTTTACCCATTTTAACCGAGTATGTTTGTTTATGTGGGGCTAATGTTGAACCCCTGGGCTACCATGGTCTTTCGTGTCGGTTAGGCCCTGGTAGACAGGCTCGACACTCAGCCATGAACGACTTTTTGGTCAGGTGCTTTCGGAGGACAAACATACCCACAATTAAAAAACCTATGGGTCTCATGGAGGAAGGTTATTTCACCATGGACACAGGGACGTTCCCTTGCATGAGATGTTACGTTCCCCCATACCATGGCTGAAAAGTACATTAATCTTACCTCACAGGAGGCGGGTGCCGCTGCCTTAAGAGCCGCAGACTTTAAAAATTCAAAATATGCGGCTCTTGCAGATAGCAAAATTTTTCAGCCAGTCTGTATTGAGACCTTTGGTCCAAACGATTTTCAGACTCAGAGTTTTCTGAATGAACTCTGTAGCAGGATTGTAGAAGTATCGGGTGACCCATTAGATAAGAGTTATGTAAAGCAATCTTTCTCTATTTTACTTCAAAAATATAATTCTTTCTGTATTTTGGATGGAGCGTTAAAATATCTGTCTGTGCGAAGCGTTTAACATAGATTAAAGTTGAAACCGGATATGATCATTACTTTCTTATAATTCTAATCAATTATGGGTTCATACATATATACATACATACATACATACGTACATACATACATACATACATACATACGAAACGAAACGAAACGAAACGAAATTTTATTTGCTTCTCAAAATTAAAAATTAAAAGAAAGCAGGATGACCATAATAGAATTTATAAAAAAAATTCATCTAGTATGGCCACCTAAACAGAAATGTTCTATGTTCGTACAAAAGTTTTTCAGCAAATAATAAAAATTTTCCCCAAATGATCTATGAGTGGCATGTTAGATGTTAGTTGTTAGTAAGTTAACGAACTCAACTATGTTAGCAAAACAGGTGTTAGTTGTTAGTACGATGGTTCACGGTTTATGTATAACAATGTTTGGTATCTATCCAGAAAAACACGGGATAGACATTACATAGTTATCTATATATTTAAGCAACATATAGAACGACATGAATAGTAGATCTCACAGTAATTAAATACATAGAAACTATATACTGATGTCTGGGGATTTTTTCAAGTGAGTAAATTAAATGCGACTTTTCCAATGAGATCAATCAATAAAGCAATCAACCAATTCCTCAATCAAGAAATCAATATAATAATTAGAATTTAAAGCGATAGATAATAAAATAAATAAATAAAAATTGTACAAATACATCCGCTCGTTTAGCGATCAGCAACAGTTAGCATTCAATGTCATTATTCAACAAATAAATTTTCAATTTATTTTTAAAATTTGCTTCATTAATTTTATTGAATGGAAAACCATGTTTTAAAATAGCATTCCAAATTCTTGGCCCTTTACAAATGATATGAGAAAAAAGTATGAATGTTTTTGATTTATTTGCTAATATATTATATTGACGTCTGGAATTATATATCGGAATAAAATAATTATTGAAAATAGAAGGAAGTTTGTTTGATAGTTGTTTATATACAAAATTGGCTGTAAAATATAAATTTAATTTATCAAAATCTAAATTATTAGTTAATTTGAACAGTTGAGGTGTGTGAGCATCTTTTCGAGAAAGCGTGATGATCCTCATTGCTCTTTTCATCAGAACTTTTACAGACATGGTAGTTGATGGGTAAGCACTGGCCCAAATGACGTTGCAGTATGATACATGGGGCAGACAGATGGCGTTATAAAGAAGATTTAAACATTTTTTTGGGAGATAAAACTTTATCCTATTTATTATTCCTATTGATCTGGCCAACTTGGTTGAAATGTAATTGACGTGGGGTTTAAACGTTAGTTTCTGATCTAAGAGGACACCCAAAAATTTTACTATTTTGCTCTCGACAATTTGTTGATTGTTAATTGTGATTTTGAACGGTTCTTTATAGTTTAAACACTGCACTGGACCGAAGACGATCATTTGGGTTTTTGAAGTATTCAGTGCTAATTTATTGTCGTTGAACCATTTGACGACGTTTTTTAATTCAACATTTGTTCGGTCAATAACACCATCGATGTTAGTTCCGCTACCAAAAATGTTGGTGTCATCTGCGAAACAAACATAATCAAAGTAGTTTGATGCATTTGGCAAATCGTTGATAAACAAGATGAAAAGTAGTGGTCCCAAGATACTTCCTTGTGGGACTCCAACACCATTATGTTGTAATGTTGAATTTTTATTTCCCCAGCTGACAAACTGCTTTCTTTCAGACAAATAACTTTCAAACCATTTCAAAGTCGTTCCTCTTATGCCATAGTGTTCAAGTTTACCCAACAGAATGGAATGATCAATACAATCGAAAGCTTTCGACAGATCTAGACATGTTCCTACGATGAATTGTTTTTTCTCCGCAAGCTTTCCAATTTTCCTTACGAGTTCTATTATTGCCAGTTCTGTTGAATGTTTCTCTCGAAACCCGAACTGGTAACATGATAGAATATTATTTTTTTCTAGAAACGATATTATTCGTTTATGCATAATTTTTTCTATTATTTTCGAAAATGCAGGAACTAATGAGATGGGTCGAAAATTAGAAACATCATTATTTCCGGTTACTTTCTGTAACGGTATGATTTTAGATGTTTTGAAGCATCTAGGAAAAATACCTGTGTGAGTGATCGATTGATGATGTGCTCGAGAACCCAGGCTGTGGTGTGGATTGTTGATATGACTATTTTTGTTGGAATGTTATCCCAGCCGCTAGATGATTTTGGAGCCAGCAGTTTTGTTGCGAAAATAATTTCTTCTGCAGATGCGTGGAGGCAAAAAACGAGTTTGGTATTTTGTTGCCAAGAAACTTTTTCCATTGATTATTTGTTTGAAATGATTTAAGCAGATTTGGTGCTATGTTGATAAAATAATCATTCAAAAAATTTTCTGGATTTTCAATTATTTGTTCATTTGAAGTTACTTGCAAATTCGTTTTATTGCTACTGGATCTATTCGATACTTCCTTAATTATTGACCAAGTTTTTTTGCTGTTGTTTATATTTTGCTCGATTTGGTTGGTGTAGTATCTACGTTTTAATTTGTTTTTTAAGTTGGTACACAGTTTACTACAAGTCTTGAATTTTAAAAGTCGATCTTCTGACGGATTTTTCAGATATATTTTAAATAAACATTTTTTCTTTTTTAATAATTTTTTAAATTCTGCAGTGAACCACAGCTTTTGTTTGGAGAGTTTGTTTTTCTTTCTATTTGATTTTATCAGACACGCATCATAGAAATAGGATTGAAATCTGTTGATGAACAATTCAAACCCCATATCAACATCGATGCAATCAAAAACTTCACTCCAGTCAGAATATTGCAAACGTTCATTCAATCTCCGCAGACGATGTGTTGAAAAAGAGAATTTCATTTGTGTTGAATCTTTCACATCAATGCTTCTATTTCCATCATCAATTGAAGCAAAAATCGGAAAGTGATCTGATAGATCGCACATCACAACGCCATTCAGTCTTGAAGGTTTTAAACAGTTCACAAAAATGTTGTCTATCACTGATTGTTTTCTAATGCTGGTTCTTGTTGAAATTGTAATAATCGGTGATAAATTGTAGCATGAAGTGAGATGTAAAAAATTAGTTGTGCTGTTGTCTTCTTCTACGGAAAATAAATTGAAGTTGAAATCCCCCATTAAACAGATAAATTTATTTTCATTGTTCGCAGCGTGTAACAACTGTTCTAATTGATTGATATAAAATTTTGGATCTTGAGACGGAGGTCGGTAAGTTACGATCATTATCGAATTTTTTTTTGAATCTTTATTAATTAGCTCGATTGAAAATGTTTCGAAGTCTTTGCAACCAATAAGATTCAAATCATTTCGAATTTTATATAAACAACTATTTTCCAAATAAAAACCGACACCACCACCATGCTTACCACATCGATTTTTTCCAACAAAATGATAACCCTCCATTTCAACATCATGTTCATTATTCAGCCAGGTCTCTGTTATTGCTACGACATTAAATTTGAAGGAAAAATTCATTAAGAAATCATAAAGTTCGTTAGTTTTGTTTATTAGACTTCTTATATTCAAGTGCATAACGTTTAGCATTGAATAACTCACGTCAGAAATGAAAGATTGATATTTAGCATTGACTGACCTTGGATCGTCAAACATTATTGAATTTTGTAACAATTGTTCTTCATTATTTAAAAATTGGTTATTTAAAATTTTACTTTCCATTCAGAGTATTAGCATCAGGTTTCGTCTGATTGAAGCGCCATTCGCGCACAATAATGTTTTTCAACATAATGTCAGGATCCTTCATCTTACCGACATCTGAGCTGTCGATGCAGACTCTGAACATTGTTGATTCCTGGTCATCTTTGTCAAAATTTTTATCCGACGATATTTCTGTTTTTTTCAAAACAGGATAACATGTGATGACATTGATTCCATTTGACGTCAAAAATTCAACAACATCTCTTCGATGGCATTTACTAATGTTGCTCATTGAGAACACAGATTTTTTAATTAAATTTTTGTCTGCCCTCAATTTACAATCTTCAACAACTTTTTTGCCAATAACTTTTGTTGGTTTTTTAGCTGTCTTGATGTTTGCCGTGTTTTCGTTGTTGTTGTTTGAAGTGGTTTCGCCGTTGTTGTTGTTTGAAGTGGTTTCGCCATTGCTGTTGGCCTCCAATGAGACGTTCAAACGTGGACGTTTGTTGTGCCGCTTCACCAACGTGAACGCTTCGTCCAGAGTGGGTGATGACACGACGTCCGCCCACAAAATTCCTGGCGCATTTTGGTTAACTGGTGGCAACGGGTTATTTACATTGTTAGAGATTACTGAGTCAACGTTTACTTTTTTGCCAACATTGTTTGCAACAAGAGAGTTAAGTTTATTTTTAACATTATCCAACTCGGTAGTATAAGACGAAAACATTTTATTTATCTCAGCTTGTTGAGCGAACAACATTTCTTTTATCTGTTTGTTAACGAAGTCGAAATTTATTTTCAGCCAGTTTTCCGTGTTTGGTATTTTATTTATATCAGAACTGCAAAATAATGCTATTTTATCCAACAAATTGTTATTTTTAATATACCTGAATAAAGTCAAGCATTCCAGAAGTTTTTCACGTTTTGAATTCCCGCGCGAGGGAAATTTTTCTATTTTATCCAGTTTTAGTGAGTCTATTTCACATTTTAATGTTTTAATTGCTAAAACAATATCGTCACTAGTATAAAATTCACTAGTATTATTAATAAATGATTCTTCCTCTATTAAACTTAAATTATTATTAATAAAATAAAGGAGCTCGTTTATTTTTACCGGTCTCGACGCCATTTTTTTCTCGATACATACATACATACATACATACATACATACATACATACATACATACATACATACATGCATACATACATACATACATACATACATATATACATACATATATACATACATACATACATACATACATACATACATACATACATACATACATACATACATAGATTTTTTTTGGTATGAACCCAGTAGCTTTTTTGTTCGGTTTGGGAGACTGGGGTTGTTAAGCGTGGTTAAGCTGGCACCTATAGTTTACAAATCATCTGCCGCTGTCACGCTCGACCTGCAGTTTGTCTTACTCTGGCGATCTTTTACGAATCGTGGTACCCCACCAGCATCACCCAACCGAGCCAAACATTTTCAACCTCAGATGCTTGAAGAGGCATACAAAACAGCTTTTCAATTTTTCTTGTCCCCCAGTCCCGACGATGCAACTTCGGCTCGTTTGCTGGCCGCGTCAATTGACGCGAGCTGCGGTTGGTTGAAATCCTGGCCAAACTCCTCATTGGTGGGTACTAGACTGGATGATGAGACAGTCAGGATAGCCATTGGTTTTCGTCTGGGTTTAACGGTCCACCAAAAATATCTGTGTAGGTGCGGTGCGAAGGCTAACGAACTTGGTCACCATGGCCTGGTCTGTCGTTTGGCTGGCGGTCGTTGGTTGCGCCATTCCGCATTAAATGATTACATCTGCCGACTTTTCTCCAAGGCTTCAATATCCGTTTTTAAAGAGCCATCGGAAATTTCCGCGCTGGATGGAAAACGCCCGGATGACTGCACATTGATTCCTTGGAGAGCCGGTATGTGCCTGGCGAGGGACGTAACCGTTCCTGGCACATTAGCGGAACGTATGTGCACTTAACCAGCAAGGAAAGTGGTTTAGCCGCAACCAGGGCATCGGATGAGAAGATTAAAAAATATGAAGATGCCCTGTCCTCGATGGATTTTTTACCTGTTTGCATCGAGGTTCTTGGCCCGATGGACAACAGCACTTCCAAATTTTTTTAAAATATTTGCAAAATGATAAATTTCAAGTCCGGCGACAGCAGAGAGCTATTTTTCACCATGAATCATATCTCTTGTTTGCTGCAAAAGTCCTTGCGCGACTGTGTTACCGAAAATGTTCAAATAACCGCCGACGTGAGCAAATAACGAGATATCAATTGTTAACCGATCTCATTCAAATGTTTAACTGTTTAGTGTCACTCACCGCTGATTTGGTTTTAACATACATACATACATACTTACATACTTACTTACTTACTTAGTTACATCCATATATACCGGCATTCACACATACATTTATACATACATACATACATACATACATACATACATACATACATACATACATACATACATACATACATACATACATACATACATACATACATACATACATACATACATACATACATACATACATACATAAATACATACATACATACATACATACATACATACATACATACATACATACATACATACATACATACATACATACATACATACATACATACATACATACATACATACATACATACATACATACATACATACATACATACATACATACATACATACATACATACATACATACATACATACATACATACAAGCTGACGGCCGTGCTGAAATGTGTACCGGTGTACGACCATATCCCTAAGCCATGCGGGAAGAAGTTTGCACATGATCTGAACGCCTTGCTGACGGGTGTTTGTAATGACCTTGGTGACCCGGCTCACTGGGTTAGACTCCACTGTTTTGTCTCATACGTCTTACAGAAGACTTCCAGAGGGGGTCGCCGGGTCAACCAGGGCAATCTGGTCAACAAGCGTCTAAGAGAATATTCAACTATTGGTCTTGAAACCCTGGTACTGTGTTTTGATAAGTTTAATAATGCCAAATGACAAAGGCACAACCCCGATCGGTGGATCAAGGCTGTGACATCTTGTATTGAACAGAGAAACCTGTCCTCGGCTGTCAGACTTGTCTGTTTGCCGGAGGGCCTGGCGGAGAGCTTGCCACCTACTTTTGATAAATTATGTTCCATCCACTCAAAAATTCCGGTGAACAGGCGGGTCTTCCCCGCATTGGCACCAACGGCTGGTTACGTTTTTCCCGCCGAGGTGCTGAGGGCCGTTAAATAGTTTAAAAACGGTTCTTCCGGAGGCCTGGACGGCCTACGACCCCAGCACCTTAAGGATGTTTTTTTTTGGTCCCTTGCCAATCGACGACACACTGAACTCCTTAACTCAATTCATTAATTTGATCCTTTCTGGAGCTTGCCCACTCTCCGTCCGCCGGTTCTTCTTTGGAGGCCGGCTAATAGCTTTAAATAAGAAAGACGGAGGGGTCAGACCGATTGCGGTCGGGAATGTTTGGAGGAGGCTGGCTGACAAATGCGCTTTGGCCCCGGTCGG